TCACCCAGCCCGTGTCTGAGGTGTTCCAGAAGATGTCTGATTTGGTCAAGTCTACCCAATGCCTGCCAAAAATTAGACAAAGTCAGAACCTCTAGCAGTGCTTCTTCTTTTAAAAAGGATTACAGTATCAATGTTACCTTATTTGGAGCCTTGACCAAGGTTCACTTATAACTCACTTGTAGTTATCAAATTGGTACAAGAACCCTAGAGCCACTCTTTCTCTCAACAAGCATTTATGGAGCATATTCTGTGTATTTATGCCATAGGCGAAGGATACAGAATTAAACAGATAGATCCCATGCTTTCAAGAGTTGACAATCTAGTGGGAGTGATCTGTAAAGGAACACATAATCTCAGTACAATGTGATGAGGAAACTTCTTGATTCAGCCAAAGTTTATTCAGCACTTATTCTACACTTGGCATTAGAGTGTAGCAAAGAATGATCAGTCTTGCTTTGAGGAGCCTACAGTTTAGTAAGTTTAAACATCTAGGAAGACCCTGAAGAGCAAGCTTTCAAAGAGTTAAACACAGAGCCATTTTACAATTATGCAATTACGCAATTCTGGAGAATGGGCACCCAACCCAGAGACAGGATGGAGACGGATCTGAGAAATGGTTCCCCAGAGGAGGTGAGGGCTGAGTGAGATGTAAATGATGTGCAGGAACTACACAGGGGAGGCAGAGAAGGAAGGACATCCAAGGAAGGGGAGGCAGTGCCTGTGAGCATAGAAAATACACAAGTGGTCATGTTCTGCACTTGGATTCTAGGACACACGGTCTTCCTGGTCCTCAACCTTGGCTGCTCCTTCTTGGTCTCCTTCTCCTAGTTCTCCTTGCTTACCACTTCATTGCAGAAATGCCTCAGGCATTCAGTGCCCAGGCCTCTTCTCTTCCCAGTGTCTTTTACTCTTTGCTGATCTCATCCAATTTCATGGCATTAAGTACCACCTTGCTGACAATTCCATCATGAATATTTCCCACTAACTCTACACATGTATCTCCAAATACCTCCCAATATCTCCTTTCTTAACTCAGGGTATGGAGATGTCTACTAAGCATCTCAAACTTAAGACGCTGAAAATGAACTCCTCGTGTTCCTCCCACCAAACCGCTCAACATAGTCTTCCCACTGCCAGTTAACGCTTCTAATTGTTCAGGCCATAAAACCAGGCATCACCCCTGACTCTTCTCGCTGTCTCTCACTTCACATCAAACCTGTCAGCAAATCTTATTAGGCCTATGTTCAAACTACATTCAGAATCTTGCCTCCTCTCACTTCCCCTGCGGAAGCCTCCCTCCACCTTTGCCTCTTAATGCACTGGCTTCTGAAGTGGGCCTCTGCTTCATCCTTTGCCCCCTACAGGTTATTCTCAACCCAAACTCCTGACAGATCCTTTAAAAAAGCAAATCAGGTCACATCACTCCTCTGCTCAAAATACTTCAATGTTCCTCAGAAAATTAAACATAGAATCACTGTATGATCCAGCAATTCCACTTCTGGATATATACACCCAAAAGAATTTGGGTTTGAATAGATGTTTATATACCCATGTTAATAGCACTAGTGATAACAGCCAAAAAGTGGAAGCAACCCAAGTGTCCATCCTTGGGTGACTGGATAAACAACACTGATAAGTTACATACGTTGCAATATTCATTAATGAGCCTTAAAAAGAAAGGAAATTCTGATACATGCTACAACATGGATGAAACCTGAGGACATTTTGCTAAGTGAAATGAGTTAGACAAGAAGGGAAAAATACTGTATGATTCCACTTATAGGTGATTCTCAGAGTAGTCAAATTCATAGAGACAGAAAGTAGAATGGTGGGTGTCAGGGTTGAGGAGGGAGGAAATGGGGAATTAATGTGTAAATGGGCATAGAGTTTCAGATTTACAAAATGGAAAAGTTCCAGAGATGGATGGTGGGGATGATTGTATAACAATGTGACCATCCTTAATAACACTAATTCTACACTTAAAAAGGTTAAGATGGTAAATTTTATGTTATATATCTCTTACCACAATTAAAAACAAAAACAAAAAATCTCCAATGGCTTCTCGCCTTGCTCAAAGTAAAGCCCAGGCAAGGCCTTCTGATTCTACCTGAGTTCACACTTTGTTAGCTCTCTGACTTCATTCTTCTGTTTTTTTTTTTAAGTTTATATATTTTGAGAGAGAGAGAGAGAGAGAGAGAATCCCAAGCAGGTTCTACACTGTCAGTTCAGAGCCCAATGCAGGACTCGATCTCACAAACTGTGGAGATCATGACCTGACCCAAAACCAAGAGTCAGACGCTCAACTGACTGAACCACCCAGATGCCCCATGTTAGTTCTCTGACCTCACTCTTGCCACTATGCCTCTTACATTTCTCTGGCTCATTCCCTACTTTCTGTTATTTGATCTGCCAGATGAGCTGTCCCCTGGTACCTTCCACTGGCCACAAAACCCAGTCCATAGCTGGCCTGGGAGTGCTCAACCATCTTGGGGGCCCCAGTAGTGCCACTTGTGAAGTAGATGGCCAGTGGGTCTTGACTCTTGGTCCTCACACAGTTGTGCTCTGTGGATGCGTCGCTGTAAAATATAAAAATCCTAGGTGGTATTACAAGTAGTAAAAATAGTCATAATAACAATAATATTTACAACAACAATACTGGCTACCATCTTATTAAATACTACCTGTGAGGCACTGTGCTGGAAGCTCCAGTTGGCATTGTCTCTGAGCCCTACAATCACCTCATGGGGTAGGTACTATCATTATAACCCTTTGCAAATAAGGAAATTGAGGCTCAAAACTGGTGAAGCAACTCACTCAAAAGAGCCTGTGCTCCTCCACCTGGGCATGAGGACTCTCTGGTGGATAAGCACGTTTCTGTGTCTATGCCTCTGCACATTTAAGGCACAGCTTTGCCCTCACCCCAATTCCAGGTAATTTAGGGCTGAAGGATTCCCTAAATTTGTGGGTTTGAGATCTGGGTAACTCCTAAAGTTCTGTGATCTGGCAAATCTTCTCACCCACTGGCTCTCAATCCTGGCTGGACCACAGGGGCATCTGGTGAGTTTTTAAAAGAAATCCCATTGCCCAGGCTCCACCCTAGAGAAAAATAGAAGCTTTGATGGTGCGCCTGGGGCACTAGGATTTGTTTGTTTATTTGTTTGTTTGTTTTTGTTTTTTTAAAAGCTCCTCGGGTAATTCTAATGACAGCCAAAATTGAGAATTCCTGGTCTAGGCCAACCCGGCAGCTCATCAATGTCATCTGGGCAGATCTCTTACAATACAGATTCCCAGGGCCTTTGCTCAGGTACATCTGGTTAAGTAAGTCAGATGTGGGAATCTGAATTTAAAACAGTACCCAAAGATAAATGGCCAAATAAATAAGTAAAACAAAATAAACAGAATTTTCCATAATTTTTAGTAGAAAGTTTGCATTCTAATATAGGCAAGAACAATCTAAAGATTATTTACCATGTCCTCAAACTTCTAAATATATCTTTTTTTTTTTAATTTTTTTTTCAACGTTTATTTATTTTTGGGACAGAGAGAGACAGAGCATGAACGGGGGAGGGGCAGAGAGAGAGGGAGACAGAGAATCGGAAACAGGCTCCAGGCTCTGAGCCATCAGCCCAGAGCCTGACGCGGGGCTCGAACTCACGGACCGCGAGATCGTGACCTGGCTGAAGTCGGACGCTTAACCGACTGTGCCACCCAGGTGCCCCTAAATATATCTTTTTTACTTTACTACCTACACGTGCTGAGTATTTTCTGTTCAAGTTTCTGCTGATAATCATTGCAATGAAATATAACATCATAATATATTATAAAAAGTGTCACATATTGGAAATATAATATTTTTGAAAATACAAGATAAATTACTTGCAATGCATGCTTGTGGGTCTTATAATCCTAAAAATCTGTAACACATTTAAGTGAATGTGGCACATAGTTCTTTTTCAAATAAAGCTACTGATAAGAGACAAATGTTGATATTAGTAAGAAAAGTAAAATAAAGTGAAACAACACCCAGGTGAATGGGTGGTAGTTGGTCTGTGGAATGTGCATGTGTGACTTCATGGTACAGGCCTCTGACAGGGCCCCTTTTTGTTTCTGCCTCTGATCAGGACAAAATCTCAAATGCCAAGGTAGGCTTCCACCAGGGCATTGCTCAAAGGCAGATGGCTTTTGGTTCTGTCCCAACCATCATGTAACTACTTGTTAGCATCTTGCATAAGTCACTTTACTTTTCCAGTGTCAGTTTCCTTACCTGTAAAATTGGGTTAAAGGGTACTTCATAGGGCTTTTTCCCAAGTATTAAACAAGAGCACCAAACACAATACTTACACAAAATAGATGTTCATTACATCTTTGGTGCATGAATGAATGTAGGTAAATGCTTACCGAGCACAATGCCTAGCATACACTAAGCACTCAATGCATGGCAGCTATTATTATATTACTAATTGACCACCCACTATGTCCTAAGTGCATCATATGGGTTATCTAGTTTACTCTGGCTACCAATTCTGTAACCACTAGCACCATGACAGAAGCAAAAGACACCCAGAAAAGCTAATGACAATTCTAGTACTGAAAAGTGAGTGACTTTGAAGGATCTTAAGGCGGTTACTGGGATTAGGTCTCAGGTCCACGTGATCTCCACAGTTGAGTGCTCCTTTCTGGTTCACTCTCTTCGTGTACAATCAGCAATACACTCCATCCCCTATTACTTAAAGGGGGAAAACCTTGGCCTCATCTTTATGCTGTTCTCTGCAAAACCCCAACTTACCGGAGGAGTTCCCTGAAGTTCATCCAGCCTGGCCGACTGCTGTCTGACACCAGTAGCTTGGTCTGAAGGGAGGGGCAGTCAGCACTAATGGCATCGACCCGCGGAGCCAGGGAGTCACTGGTTATAATGGACTTGGCCCTGGATGCCTGCAGCCTGTATTTGAGGTCCTTCTCCGTCAGCTGAGAGACACCCGGAATCATGACAGCCCCTGGCACCACACAGAGAGGGGATGTTGACTGGGCAGCAGGGGAAGAGCCCTGTGAAGAAGTCCAGACCCTAATAGTCCCATCAGAGAAAGGAACAGGAAGGGACTGGACAGGGTTGGAATGCCTGAACTGGAAAAGGTAACAATAATGACAATAATGGAATCCAGAATATGTTTATGGAGCACTTACATGTGCTAAGAATTTACATGCATTATTTCATTTAATTCTCACAACCCTGATGAGTAGGTGCTATTTTTATACCCATTTTGCAGATTCAAACAACAACAACAACAAAAACAACAACTAAGACTTAGACCCTTATGCCTTAATTAAATGAAGTAACTTGCCCAAGATCACACAGCTAACATGTGGTAGAACTGGGATTGTGAGTCTAAGAGGTGGTAAACCTAAGGGTCCAAGATCTCAAATACTGTTTTAGAAATGACCTAGCTCCTTGGTTTGCCATGCCTTCACACAAAAGGCTACAATAAATCCTAGTGTTGAGAGTGGATCTCTTGGGGTGGGTGGTGGGAGGGTAGGTACAGTAGGTGGGAGCTTGTATAACATCAACCAAAACCACTTCTGAATGCAGCTGAGTCCATCTCTTCCCAAGGGGAAGGGATGTGGAAGCATAAAACATGGACAAATTTTATCAGACACCTGAAAAGCGACCTGAGTATCTCAGAATGGAGGCTGTAAACATCCACTGAGCCCAGCACTCTCATTTCACAGATGAGAAGAAAGAGATCCTAAAAGAATGGGTCATCCTGCCATGGCCAGTGAGTGAGGACAGTAGACAGAGGAAGGGGCCAATCCCAAATGGTGTTGTAGCCAAACCAAAGTTCTCATTACACTTCGCTTTATCTCCTAAGCTTTTACAGGTTTTAAAACCCAGCATGAACACTTTGGGAGGTGAATGGTATCTCTTTACTTCATCCCTCTGCTTTAGCTATTTCCAGAAGTCTGTCCCACCTGGAGTTGTGTGTGCTGTTTTGGGGGCTCAAGCAGATGGTGGACAGCTAGGGATGTCAGCAAGAGAAATGAGTCTAACACCATAGACTAGAAGACCAGTAATAAGTGTGTATCAGGAGAACATGGCAATGTGAGAATATAAGGACATCCAGCTTGGGGATCCTCTAAAATGTTGGAGATGACGCTGGACTTGACATGGTCATGTATGATGTAGTCTTGAACTATTTTATTTGGACATCAAAGAAATGGGTGAATCTGCACAATTGGGGGAACTGGAGACATTTAGATAACAGGAAAAATAATGAAAATAATACCCCAAAAAGAAGTTTTGATCATGCAAAGTGCCCAACACACTGCCAGGCACATAGTAGGTCCTCAAGAAAAGCATAAGGGCTCCTTTACCTAGGTTCTCATTTAAATAAACCTTATATGCCATGGCAGGATATGGAGAACTCCCAAAACCTGTGGGCCTGTTTCTTTTCCTCAAGCTGGATGTACTATAATGGGGCTTATTTTTATATTTTGTGCAAGAGTATATAAAAATAGAAGTAAAGTTCCTGCCTTTTTTTTTTTTTTTTTTGACAATCCATTCACAAAATGGTTGACTAAACTTGTTTGTATAGAAAAGCTAATTCTCTGGTATGAGTTTGTATCCCCCTCTGTTTTGCAAACATTATTTGTAAAAACATCCATATTTCAGACAGTGTTCTATGGACAGGGTTGGAGGGCGTGGACAACCTTTCAAGTGGTGGAAAGTTCCCAGTGGGTGGAGAAACCAGCTCTCCACCAAGAGTAGTTGTCTTGCTTTTGTAAAGTCAGCATAAAAACTCCAGCCCTTTCAATAAGAGCATCACAGGGTCAGCAGAGGCCCTCTGGGTTCTATTGATGGTGTCCTTTTTCTGCCTCTGCTCCTGTGCTGGAAGAATCACCCCAAGAAGATCAATGGTCCATTGCCTTGGCCATTCATAACAGCAGGAGGAGGAATCCTCAAGGGCTAATCTTATGGCTTTGATTATTTTGTCCTTCTCTTTCTTCCCTTGGCAGCTGGTAGATGCTGTGGTGGTGAGAGCCATAAAGTCTAAGAGTGAAAGTAATGTAGATTGACTAGGAAGGTCTCTCATGCATACTTGCATTACTCTCCACACGCTCACAGCTCCCAAACCATGACCAGCAAAAAATGTGTTTGGTTTGTTCCACTCAGATTTTTTCTAAAGTTTATTTCATTCTCAACAGTTTTTCTTCCCCCATAAAAATCCAGAGTTTTCTATTACAAAGTCAGAAGTGCTGGAAACACTGGCCCTCATTCACACACGGAAACATCTGGCTGGAGTTGAGAAGCAGTTGCCCCCTTTTGATGAGCCATGTGAGCTCCGCTATCCGGCAGTCACTAGTGCTCCCTACCGCCACACACCGACCTGCTTTCCTCAATTACATTACTACCTGGCCCCCGTGCTCAATCAAGTTTGTGACTGTTAGGCAAAGGGGAAGTAAACAAAACTCCACGTAAAGTTCACTTTGCTCCATCTTCCAAACCATGTGGACTCTGCAAAACTCTGGCAGGTGTGTCAGCCCCAAGTGGTAGCCTCAGCCCTGCTCACTGACCTGTCCGTATACATGCCACGCTGACCAGCCACCATTCCGGGAGCCGCGGGAGCACCAGCATCATCCTGTCCCCAGGCTGAAGGCTACACGTGTCCCTCAGCACATTCGCTGCCCTCCTGGACTGCTGCCCCAGCTGCTCAAAGTTCCACTTGACTTCTGCTCCCGCGCCATTGACCCACCAGAATGCAGGGATCGGGGGCCTGTGTCCAGCCTAGATGGCAGTGTAGGCAGAAAAGAAAAGGAAAACATTTGTTGAGGACTTTTGTTTGCTTGTTACTGTTTTATTTGATTTTGTTGCAATAGTGTTTAAATTCAACACAGTGTTCAACAGTGTTCAAACTCAAAACAATATGGAAAGATGCATTGAGAGGCTTCCTCCCATCCTTATGCCCATCTATGTTGCTCCTCACTTCACCTGCCTCAATGAGTAACCAGTATTATTAGTTTCTTGCATATCTGTTCAGTGTTTCTTTAGTCAAACATTAAGTATATTCTGTTTTCCATACCACTTTTTTTAATGCAAAAGGCAGCATATGATTCCTACTGTTTTGTGTCCCCTTTTTTTGAGATATAATTCTCATACCATAAACTTCACTATTCTGAAGTGTACAATTCAGTGGTTTTTCGTATATTCCCAAAGTGCTGTGATCATTGCCACTATCTAATTCCAGAACATTTTCATCATCCCAAAAAGAAACACTGTACAGATTAGCAGTCACTTCCTATTCTCCCCTCTCCCCAGCCCTTGGCAACCACTCATCTACTCTGTCTCTATGGATTTGCCTGTTTTGGATATTTCATATGGATGGAATCATAATATGTGCCAGCACCACTAGTTGGAAAGATTATTCTTTCCCCACTGAATTTTCTTGGCACTTGTGTTGAAAATCAACTGGCCATAGATTTATGGGTTTATTTCTGGACTCTCAATTCTATTCCATCCATCCATCCATCCATCCAGATCTATCCCTATACCAGTGTTACACTGTCTTTTTTTTTTTTTCTCACACAGGAAAAAAAAATACAGTTATTACTATAACTCTGTAGCAGGTTTGAGTCCTCCAGGGTTGTATTTCTTTTTCAAGGCTGCTGAGGTTATTAAGGGTCCCTTGCGTTTCCACATCAATTTTTGGAGAAGATTTCAGCAAATAAGTCCCCTGGGACTTTGATATTACATTGAGTATCTATATTAATTAGAGATGTGTTATCATTTTTTTTGAAACATTATACTTTCTGCTTCAAGGGCAATCAAGTTTAAAAAACGTACAATTCAACTTTAAAAAGTCAGACTTCAGGTAATCTGCTAAGTGCATATATAACGTAGAGGGTAACATTTTCTGGCAGTCCTTGTTTCCCTAAAGTTGGAGTTCATCAGATGTGTTTTAAAATTTTCCCAAAATTGTCACGAGGCATACGTTATTTTTACATAATGAAGTAATATCTCAGGGGAATTCTTACGGAGATTCATCCGAATCTTTAATGAGCGTTTCTTTAAGAAACACTCCCTGATCTATTCCAGCCTTTGGTAAGTCTCCAGAATTTTAAAAAGTAGATTCTGACAATTTTTCCAAGGTTTTTCATTGCTGTTGCTTTTATAGAGGATAAAATTATAGCAAATCCTGATTCCACCATTTTTGCTGATGTAACCCTGTTCGTATTTATCATTGAGAGAAATCTTCTAAGGACAATGCCAGGTTGGAAAAAGAGCTCAGACTTTGTAGACAGGAACAGGCCCTGGCTCCATCTTCTACATATGCTTCCCAGGTGGCAGATGGTATGACTCCCATTTGATACATGAGAAAACTAAAGATGAAAAAATATGGGTGAAAAAAATCCAAAGAGCTTGGTGCACTTATCCAAGGTCACACTTCAAGTGGATGAACCATATCTATCTAACTGCAACCACCTTCGTACTTTACTATACCCACGAAAAGTATACTTTTAGTGAATCCACTAATGGTGTTAGTTCCCTCATTGTTTTTCTTTAAACAAGCTCTTCTTAAAGTTAACATAAACAAATTGCTTTGAGATAGTTTATATTCTCCTGCTCTAAATACAAAGTTAGCACCCTTAACATAAATAAAAAGCGAACTATAACATGCAGACAGAGGCACAACAGACACATAAGGAAGGGAAAATAAAGAAGGAAGCATATGAACACAAACACAAAAAGAAATCCAGATAATCAGTTCCTAAAACAGTTTAAATTTTAGGACTTGCAAAACTCCTAGGTCAAAATGTCCACCTATCTTGTAGCTCTGAGTCACAGTGGGGTTCCAGAGGGCAGACTTTGATGCCCAAGCTGGACACAAGGACACAGTGCGCCTCACCTTTTCTAGCTGGCTCCACATGTCCAGTACATCGTGAGCAAAGTTGAAGTACTCAGGCACTGGCTGCCTCCCCAGGCTGATTGCTTCCCAGGTGGCCACAATGTCCTGAGGGTCAAGTAGAGGTGGTGGTTGTCCATGAGGCCCGCAGAATCCCCGCGCACTTCTCAGCACCTTGAGGACTCGTCCTCTTAGCCATGGCATCATGTTATTGCCTCTGGTCTGTCACCAAAGAGAAGAGATAGAGCATCATGCTGAATTCTGGGCTTTGTGGACAGACTGAACTTGAGAAGAAACCTGTGGTCAGCCCTGATGGTGACTACAGTGCACACCGACCTGTAAACAGAGTCTTGGAACTCAGTCTTAGTACCACCATGTGATTTGGGTCATTTTTTTCTGAGTCTGAGGTCCATCTCTTCCACCTCTCACCGCCTGTGGACCTCTGGGGGTCTGAGGTCAGTAACTCAGAACTCACTTCCCAAGGCTTCCCAAGCCCACTGTCCCAAGATAAACCCTGAACTAGCTGACAAAGACAAGGAAAGCTTTAGAGCAACACTGCACAATAGAAATATATTGTGAGCTACACCTGTAATGTACAATTTTCTAGTAGCTTCATTCAAAAACATAAAAAGAAAGGGGTGAAATGAATTACAATAATATTTTATTTAACCCATGTGAAAGGTGAAATAAGATGGGGTCATTATGTCAAGGGGTTTTAAAATGAGTCTGGAGGCCATTCAGGAGGTGGGCCTTAACGTTCACACATCACCAGTGGAACCATGAACTTTTGAACTGGGCCAAACCACAAATAATCCAAGGACTCAGCCTGAATACCTGTTACAGTAAGAGACTTTGTTTAGCCTTAGCAATCAATTATATTCAGTCAAGATCAGTTTTCTTCCGCCAACATCAATCAAAATTCGTTGTAAGCAATATATAGAAGCATTCCCTTTTGTCTTTAAAAATCCTTGCCTGTTGCTCCCTGGAGTGGGGGTGGGGCACTATTTGGGTTCCAGCCCTAATCTGTGTTCTCTGAATTGTAATTCTGAGACACCAAATAAACTTTTTTTTTTTTTTAGCTTTGCTCTTTTTTTTGGTCAACACCAGCTGTATCCTATAATTTCAACATGTAATCGATGTAAAAAGAAATTACTAAAGAGATAATTTACATTTTTGGGGGGTGGAGGTGGAGGATTGTAAATCCTCACAATCCAGTATGTATTTTACACTTACAAACACACCTCACTTTGGACAAGCCACATTTCAAGGGCTCAACAGCTGCAAGTGGCTGTGGCTACCATATTGGACAGGGCAATTTTCAGTGTCTTGCTACTCAAAGTCGGTCTACGGGACAGCAGCATCAGCACTCCTGGGAGCTTGGGACAACTGCAGAACCATAGACCGCACCCTAGACATGTGGAATTAGACTCTGCACTTAAAGGGAGCCCGAGTGAGGTGGGTGCACTTGGAAGTTTAAGAAGCAGTGGCCTAGAGGCTGCATCCCCAGATGCAGTTTCTTTCCACCAAATTCCTTTTGGTCATTATAATAGTAACAGAATATGGTAATGTAACTGCCAGAGACTAAAAGTTTGAGCTTCCCACCCCCAGATTCTTTTATTAAGTTCTAACCCCCAATGTGATGGTAGCAGGAGGTGGGGGCCTTTGGGAGGTGATTAGGTCCTGAGATCCCAGAGAGCTGGCTTGCCCCTTCTGCTTGTTGAGGAGAATGCAGACCCACTTTGCCAGACCCGCTTTGTCAGACCTGCCTGGTCTGTGAACCAGGAAGGGGGCTCTCACCACACTTGGAATCTGACTGCTGCACTTTGATCTTGGACTTCCCAGTCCCCAGAACCATGAGAAATAAATGTTGTTTGAACCACAGCTGCCAAACAGACTAAGACAATAACCAACAATAATAATGTATCACAATACCAAGAAGAATAATTATAATTGCCATCTACAGAAGACTTACTGTGTACCAAGCAAGCATTTGGAAGGCGCTTTGTAGATGTTATTTCCTTAAATCCTTACAACTCTAGGATCTAACTGTTCTTTTCTCTGTTTTACAGATAAAGAAAGTGAGGCTTAGAGATGACAGACAAGTGACTTGCAGGTCTCAACTCCCAGAGATGCCCAGGCCCCAGCCTCTGTTGTGGCCGCCAGCCCTGGGGCCTCAGACTCCCCTCCTCTGACCCTCTCCCCCCATTCCTCAGCTCTCCTGAACTCTGTGCCCTAAGCCTTTTCCTCTGCCTCCCACACCTGGATTCCTCCACCCCTTGACAGCTGATAATTACAGTCCCCAGGCCTCCTTTCCCAGGGCACAAGGCCATTTCAGGCAGGCCTCATCTGATACCTGTCCTTGAAAGATTTCTCTCTATAGTACCTTGCTCTTGAACCCAAGAAATGCAAAAGAGCTTCGGTGTTCCGCTTCAGCTGAATACAGGCTTTAATGCCTATAAACATTCAGGTTCCTCCAGGACTGCTGGAGAAGGCAATCTGCTGACTCAGCCTCCCACAGGGAAGTTTGGCCCCAGATGCAGCCAAGAGAGAGCAGAGCCTGAAGCCAGCAGAGGACAAGGTAACTTCAACTGGCCAGCAAGCTTGAAGCCTGTGAGTGTGGCTCCACCAACAAGTTTTTCTCAGAGCTCACAGGGCTGGGAGATTAAACTCTAGCTCTGGTGGAACGTCTTCCCTGAAAATTCAGGTCACCACGTCATCTGAAAAGAGAACAGGAACTTTATTATGTTTTAGCAGAAAGAATACAATAGTGACAATAATATAAGTCAAACCATGTTCCTTTTCTGCTCCAAACCCTCCAAAGCACAGAGACAAGAAAGTACATGAGTAGTTGCCTGGGGCTGGGTATGTGAACAGGGAATGACTGCAAATGGACACAAGGGATGTCTTTGAGGTGACAGAAATTTTTTATATCGAAAGGTGATCACGGCTGCACAAATCTGTAAATGACTAAAAATAACAGCAATAGTAACAATGGCATACTTCACTGAATTTTATGGTATGTAAAATTAAATCTAAAAAAAAGAAAAAAAAAAGCTTTTTTTGTTTTGTGTTGTTTTGAAACCTCCTATGTCTCCCTGTCTGGCTCGAAGTCCAAGTCAAAGTCCTGCCAGCAGCTGCAAGGCCCCACATGATTTCCTGGCTCTCCCCTCCGGCCCCCTGCTAGCTCTGTTCCAGCCACACTGGCCTGCCTGCCCTTTGTTCTCCCTGCTGCTGGTTAACTGGATCTCTGAGAACAAGAGCAAAAAACATCTTGTCTCATAGTGTTTGCCAATATCTGTGGTTAAATATTCCCACCATGGCCAATTTCAATCAACCAAAGTTTTAAAAACCGGCTTGCAAAGTTCCTGGTTATTAACTGTCTCTGGCACACCCCTGCGAACTGGCTCCAGCCCTGCTTCATTCCTTGTACTCGCTGGCTTCTCTGTCACGAATTTCCTTTCACAGGGTTCACTCACTGTCTCACCACTCACACACAGGCCCCTGCTCAGCATGCCTTCTGCCACGGCCCTAACCCCAACTGGAACCTTCTCCCATCTGACACTTCCCACCTTCCTTCTCTGCTTGATTTTCCTTCTTAGTGTTTATCACTTTCTTTTTTAAATGTTTTTTTTTAATGTTTATTTATTTCTGAGAGAGAGCAAGCGCGCGTGCAAATGGGGAAGGGGCAGGAGGGAGGCACAGAATCCCAAGCAGACTCCAGGTTCAAAGCTGTTAGCACAGAGCCGGACATGGGGCTCAAACCCGTGAACCATGAGATCATGACCTGAGCTGAAGTTGGCCACTCAACTGACCAAACCACCCAGGTGCCCCAGTGTTTATCACTTTCTAACATTCAATGTATTTTATAAAAAACATTTTTTTCCCAGTTTTAATACGAAATGATTGACAGATAAAATTCTATATATTTAAGGTATATGACATATGCATTACATAAATGGTTACTACAGTTAAGCTAATTAATACAGCCATCACTTCACCTACCTGCCATTCAATATTTTCTACTCATTCACTTTTGCTGTCTGTCCCCTCCCCCAACCCACACATGCACACTAGAATATCAACTCCACCAGAACATGGATTTTAGATGTTCAGCCGTTTCCTCAGGACTTATAACAGTGCCCTGCCACACTTTAAGAGTTTAATAAATACTTGTTGAGTCAATGAAGAGTAAATGAGAATTAACATTTAGTGAACATTTTTTGTCTGCCAGTCATTGCTATGTGCAGCAAGTACAAATTGACCTCTGATGTTCTCTGACCTCAGATAACCTTTCTTCCTTAGCGCTAGAAGTGGTTCAAAGTCCTTCCGATGGAAAAGGGGCTATGAGTGCCTGCTGGAGAGGATGCTTAGGCGTCAGCTGCCTTGCTTTGCAGTGGTTAGCATCACACTGGGTGTTCATCCTCCACTGTGTTTTGTTCCCTGAGGCTCTGGCTTATTTCCTGGCCAGGCTGCTGTTGCCCCTTCCCATGGAGGCAGCTCCTCTTCCTCCCTGCCAAGCATGGCCATAGCAAATCATCTCTTTGACCTTCAAATTCCACTTCCTCAGTGCCTAGGCCTCTAATGGGTCCCAGGCAACCGCTCTTATCTGCAAATCTGCAGCCAGATCTAAAGATACATTCTCTAGTCTCAGGAAGGTGGATGGTCAGATGACCTGCTTTTCAGAGGACCTGAAGTCAATTTCACTGCTATCCATCAGTATTTGATAAGAATCCAGCCACACAGAACTGGAGGCTACAAACTCTGACAATAATTCTGCTGCTACTGCTAATAATACAATAACTGCCTTTCATTTAGTCATCCAACAAACATCTTTAAGCACCTATTAGCTGCTAGGCAAAGTAAGTATAAGGAATTTAAAAGGTGATTACTACTGTGATGAAAACTAAAGCCTAGAAAGAGACAGAAAGTACCTAAGAGGATTGGGGAGGTTAACGGTTTTAAACAAAGTGATGGGGAAAAGGCCCAGGCTGAGAAAGTGATGTTTGAGCAAAGACTTACAGGAGATAAGACAGTAAACCTGGGTGAAGAGCCGACTATAGAAGAAACTGATATGGGAAACAAAGGCAGAAGGAAATGGCAGATAAAATTGAATTTCCTTATAACCTGCAGCCTGTTGACAAATACTTAAGGCAGGCAGAGTAAAAGTTTCTCAGGGAACTCCCTGCTGTCTTAATGCTAATGCTTTGCTGGAGGGAAAAAACAACCTTAGGGTGACAGTAGCTAGGCCTCCAGTATCCTGGGAGTCTTCTTTAGCATATGAACTCCCAAGTATATAACCAGTCTATCCACAGGGTCCTGGGCAGCTCTTTCTGCCCAAGGGTTTTGTCCCCTGGCTTTAATACAATCACCTTTTTGCACCAAAGACATCTTCAAGAATTCTTTCCTGGCTGTCAGCTCCAAACCCCATGAACCCCCCACATCACCCCAAAACCTCATCAGAAACCACGAGTGCCCCTGAGGTGGGAGAGTGACTGTCATATTGGAGGAGCGACAAGAAGGCCAGTGTGGCTGCAGCAGGGAGTGGGAGAGAGGCTAGGAGAGGAGACAAGGGCCAGCTTTCCGCCCTCCAGGTCCCTTGCAGCTCACTTTGGCCAGTCAGCTCCGTTAACCCTTCCAACAACCCTGTGAGTTTTATGCCATTTTACACGTGACAAAACTGAGCCTCAGAAAGGGTGAGCGACATGCCCAAGGCCACCCAGCTATTCAGGGACAGAGCTGGGATTCCAATTCCAATGTTTAGACACTTCTGTGCCACCCTGTACCACTCTAGGCCGGGATGTACTTTGTTTCTGGTGCTCCCTGTGACCTCCAGCCCCACCCCTGTGCTTGGGCAAGCTCCTCTCAGCAAGGGCAGGGCCTTCTTACCCAACAATGGCCATTCTTCTCCAGGGCCACCCTGGTCTCCAGAACCCCAGAATGTGGAACACTGCTGCTCAGGCTGCTGTGGTTCCCATGTGTCTGGGAAGGGTCTTCATTTCTGCCTCTGGATTTCTTTAGGAAACTCGGCGGCCTCCGGGTCCTACTCTGTCACAAAGGGAAACCAGGAGTCTGTTCTTCAGGCCACGACTTCCCTCCTCAAGTGCCCCGGAGTTTGCTGCCCCAGCTCGGCCCAGTGGGCCTGCGTGTAACCAGACTTCCTACAGGTATGGGCTTGAATGAAATGGCAATTCTGATGGATGGGCCCTGCCCTGGCCACATTCCTTCTGCCAGAATGGTTAAAATTTAAGTGTGGTTTACTGAGAAGATGGCTACACATTAGTATCACCTAAAGAAACTCACCGTACCCCAAACAGACCAATGAAATTACACCTAGTGTATTTGGGTTCAAACAGGAGTATTTTCTTGAGGTTCCCCAAGAGATTCTAATGGGCGGCACTGGTTGAGAATCACTGAAATACACTGTGGGGTTTGTGTGAGAATTAAATTAGATAACTTGTTCATTCATTCATTAAAAAACATTCACTGAGTTCCAGATCTGGACAAGGCACTGTTCTAGGAGGTGGGAAAAGAGCTGTGAACAAAGGAACTTACAGGAAAATGTTTAGAAATATAAACCGTGGAGCCCCTGGCTGGCTCAGTGGGTTAATCGTCCGACTTCAGCTCAGGTCATCACCTCACAGTTACTGAGTTCAAGCCCCATGTCGGGCTCTGTGCTGACAGCTCAGAGCCTGGAGTCTGCTTCGGAGTCTGTGTCTCCCTCTCTCTCTCTCTGTCCCTCCCCTGCTCGTGCTCTGTCTCTGTCTCTCAAAAATGAATAAATGTTAAAAAAAATTTTTTTTTAATAAAAAAATAAAGCATGTACACTCAGAAATAATAACACAGGATTTGAAGCAAATGGGGGTGATGTGGCCGAGAATGCTGGAGGCAAAGGTAGTGGGGAGACAGAGTGGCCTGGGAAGACCCCCCCCCCCTCAGAGGAGCTGGTGTTAGGGACCTGAATGACCAAAAAAGGTTACAGATCAGGAAAAGGGTGTTCCAGGCAGAGGCAAAGGTCCCAAGCAGTGTCTGCCTTAGGAGAGGGAAGGAACCGGCCTGGCTGACATGCTGACATAGGAGGGAGAGCACAGGGCTGAGGTCACAGGAAACGGGATGATGGAGTCCTGAGATGCCACCATATTGTATGTGATGGCAGGCCCCTGGCTTCTCCATAAGACAGTGATGTGATCTAAGCTGTGTTTTAGAAGGAAATCTCTAAATTCTGTGTGATGAATGGATTGGGAGGAGAGCAAAAAGAATATAAGTAGAGAGGAGGCCACTGCTCCAGCTGGACCAGAGACGAAGCTGGCTGGGACAGGAGGCTCTCAGTGTTGGAGACCAGGGACATTTAGTGCTCAGAGCAGTGGTAACTGGTAGAAAGGCCCTCTGCATTAAATACTCTTATTCTTATTTATTCTTATTCATAAGAGTTTTCTATGATGGCACTCCTCCCTGTGTGGGGGTGGAGGGTAGAGGTTGGATCTAGGCTTGGAATTGGCTGTGGCTGGGGCTGAGGGTTCCCCAGAGGGACACAGAGGAGCCACCAGGATTATCAGGCCAGAGCGGTGGGTGCAGGGAGAACCGGGGTTCCGGACAGGAGCAGGGGTCTGGGTGGGGTTGAGGGTACAGTGTCAGGGGTTGAGTCACAATGGGGTCCAGAGTTTGAGGAGGAGCTCTGTGATGAATCAAGGCTGAGCTGTGGTCAGAGAGGGTCGCAGGAAAGAGTAAAGGGTGTGGTGTGGAAGGTGGAAGGTGGTGGAAGA